AATAGAATGAATTTAGATCCAATAATGTTATAATAAAATAAATTAAGTAATATTAAAAAGAATTGATTGGTGTTTTTGATAAATTATATGTAAATTAGATAAATTAAATAATTAATAATTAATTAAAAATAAAATTATAAATAGAAAAATATAAAAAGGAAATATAAATGATTATCAAAATATGTCACATAATATTTTACATGTGATCTAAAATATCAAATGGTGACAATATACATGATAGCATTACTGATAGCATTTGCACAATATATTTTGTATACATATTTGATAACATATACCTGATAACATGACTCGACAGCATAACCAGATAGCGTGTATATAACATACGTAATAGCAATTAGATAGCATTTCCAATAGGAATTATGCAACGTATATTGATGACATTTCCCGATAATATTTACAATGTATGTATTGATAAAAATTGCGCATATATGTTTGATAGCATATCTGATAGCATTAGTCTCCACAATGATGATATATGATTGGTTGCATCGTCAGATATATTTTTTTGCCTATGTGAGCCAACCAGTCACGACTACTAAGCTGACATATATTATATCGCATGTGGGTTGATATACAAAATACGTCACCTTGGCGTGTGTCGTAAAAAGCAAAATTCACGTTACTTGAGCATAAACTAAAATACAAAACACACATCATATTGATGTGTGACTTAGTAATTCTCAATCGACAATACAAATATAATTCATATAACACCGATATGTAGATTATAATCAATCCAAAGATGTATTATAAAAATTATATCATGACACTGATGACAATGTTATATTTTTGTCATCAAAAATGTGTCATAAAAATTATATCATGACACTGATGATGGTGTCATATTTCTATCGTCATGACACTGATGACAGTGTCATATTTCTATTGTCACGACACATACCTAAGTGGGAATAACTAAAGATGGCGCGGCAACTGTTGCAACGTGGTGATAAATAAAGCATCACCTAGTTGCAACTAGTTGCGGCTTATAAAATTTTGAAGTTGCAACGTGTTGCAACGGGTGACAAATAAGCATCACATACTTGCTGCGCCATCTCTAGGAATAACCTAGACTAAGTGAAAATAACATAATTATGTTATTTCCACTAGACAGATTGCAAGTGTTATATTATACCAATATGCTTTGTAAACACTCAGTAAATTGCACACTTTGAGACAAATGCTGCAAGGTCATATCTACGAGTTCCGTAAAAACAATAGACTTATCCTTTGTTATAGTCTATCACAAAGAGAAATGACAAGAACAAACAATATATATAAATCATTATATTACACATGTTCTTGGTGCATCTCCCACTTTGCGAACGACGTGATAAGTCGATCTCAATTTGCGAAAAATTCATTTTCCCTCGAGTAACTGTTCTGTGCGTCCATTGAAAATTCTATAAATGACGATTGGTATGTATGTGGAACAAACAACAGGTGTTTTTTTTAAGATAAATGTTTGCGTTACACATTGATCTTGCAATTTTATTGGTCGAGGGTATATCGGATTTTGACGTAATCGATAGACATATAATAAAAAGTTTGACTATAAAACTCTTCTGACGCTAACTCTCACTGCTAACATAATGAACACCGAAGAACTTGTTCAATATCAATACCAATTGGATCAAGTAAACCTTGCATTACAAACTGATCCAGAAAACAATGATCTTTTAAAGCTTAAAACTGACTTAACTGAACTAATTAGTCTCACCTCTGCGCTTGTGCAAAATGAAGTTTCTCAATCACCTAATAAACATACTAAATCGCCTATTTCACCGAAAGGTAATACATCAACACCTACCACACCAAACGGCTCCTCCTCGAGCGGAGTACCCCTCTTTACAAAACCTCTCCAGGTCGGTGATACGTGCCTTGCACGTTGGTCAGGTGATGGAGATTTTTATCCGGCGCAAATAACAGCTATCGGAGGTGGGGATCAAGTATTTTCAGTGATTTTTAAAGGTTATAATAACGTGGAGTTGGTGAATGTTCAAGATATTAAACCGATTATGAAAAATAAGCGTAAGAGCTCTACGGATAAAAAAGATAAAGAACAAAAAAAGAGGAAAGCGGGGGATGGGCAAAGAAAAGTTAATGAACAAGTGCAAAAACAAAAATCTTGGTTGGCTTTTGCAAGTGGAGCTGCTGTTGCTCCGGGTAAAAAAGTCACGAAAGCAAAAAGATTAACTCAGCCGCCAATTAATAAAAAAAGTATATTTGCTACACCTGATAATCCCGAAGGAAAAGGTAAAAATAATTATTTATGGTTTCTTATTTGATTTCTATGAAGAAAGTGAATTTTTTGCTAATATAATTTACCTCTATTTTTTGTTATCAGTTGGAGTTGTCGGGAGCGGTAAACCTATGACACATTTTCAACAACGCGGCAAACATATATTTGATCGAGATTGATCATATACTGAAAGAGACAATTGCTATTTTTTTCTTTACCCAATACACAAACAAAAGCTTTATTATCAAATGCATAAATTGAATGAAATTCGGATGGACTTTACTTCTACTGTAGTTACTAATACTACTACTATTATCACAATCATCATATAGTGAGGGGAGTATAGAATTGCTGTTATCTTTTTGTTTTTTTCCCGTTTTCTTTATCAGTTTTCACAATTGTTTCATCATTCATAATAACCCTAAACCCCATGCAACAACGCAAATATAATATAATACAAAGAGAAAGAGACATCTGACAGACAGTATCATCATCATCATCATCATCATTCTCTCAAGCTGGGTTTAATGTTTTTAATTGTTGAACGGCAATCCTGTAGAAATTATGCAATATATTGCCACACTGGTAATTTCATTCTATCTCTTATATGTTCTTTACTTCTCTCTCCATATTCTTTGCTTGATTTTTTAGTTATTGAACACTGCGGGAGCTACATTGATTGACTTCTATATACATTTTCTTTTTTTTGGTGAGAAGTTTATTAAAAGTTCTTTTAACTTTTTCTTAGTATAAACATTCACATTATAGATTCTATCTTTAAGAAAATGTATCTGATATCTAAAGAAGACATATGTTTTTCACGAATGAGATTTTTTGGAGAATTAATTAGTTATTAGGTTAGCTAGCATAATTCATTAATTTTTTTTTAATTTTTCCAATTAATCATGTAAATTTAAACAGAAATTTTTCTATTTTTCTCATTTAAATATTAGATGCTTAATTAGAATGTTATTTTGTAATCTATTCAACAAAACAATACATATTTATTATAGGAAGAAACAATAAGTCAATCCTTCTCTTCCCTTGTGAAGTGCATCAATGATAAACATTTTAATTTTGTCTCAGTTATTTTTACTTTAATACATGTATGTAGTATGATCATGCAAAAAAAAAACAAATGGAGTACGAAATTTACCAAAAATATAGTTCACATAACTAAAGGAAGGATTACACATAAAAAATCATTACTTAGTATTAGTCATATCATTTTTGTATTCAAAATCTTTTTATTAATTAATAACAATAGATATTCCTAATAATTAACCATTTTGTGTAAAACCTTTTCAGCTTAAAAATAAACCATTTCATATACTATCTATTCATCTTCATCGTCCTCATCATCATCAGAACCTTCCTCTTCCGCTTCTTGTAACCATTTGACAAAAGGTGCCGCCTAATACGAGATAAAAATAAAAAAATTAATTAGATGTATGAAATGCAAATAAAAATAAATCCACAACAAATAAGAATACCATATTTCTAAGTTTTTTAATATACTCCACGTTTTCTTGTTGTCTTGCTCCTACTCCTTTTGCACGATCCGAATTATACCAATGAATGATCGCGTCTTCCTCCACCACATCTAATTTGTAAAGTAGATGAAGTGAAGGTGGCAGTAATCGTGTATGTGATTCTTGTCGTGCAGCACAATGCTCCTTTAATATTGACGATAAATTCTGGTATAATTGTATTTTATTTCGCAAATATTAGTATAACACTTAAAAAACATACCTGAAGTATATATAATGCGTCAAGTTGATCAGATGGCGAATGAATCACTTCGGAAATAAGAGGTGACCATCGAGTAAGAACCTTAAAAAATAGTATAAATAATAAAAAAATATAAACATCTACGAACATTATTATTATTATTATTATATCTATAAATCTATTATATACTTTACCTCTTCCACATGAGAGGTAAATTCTTTTTGAATAGCAGAGAGAAACTTTGGTATGTCAATTTGGGCCAAAACACTTGGTATCACAACAGTTCTTAAATCATGAAACGTGGCATTCGACGCCATCTTTAGCGCCTTTAGTTCTAATATCGTATTTTCAACGGTGTGACCTTCTGCAAAAGCGCGTTCAAGTGTTTGTGCAACTTCACGTGAGAAATCTTCATCTTCCTCTTTAAATTGTTTTTGTTGTTCTGCATCACTTCCCTCATCTTCAGTGTCATCACTTATAACCGAAGCTGATGATTCACTATCGGACATTTTTAGAGTTGACAAATCGTACGCTAACAATATTTTTAATAGTTAGTTAAAAGAAAAGTATTATTCAAATATATTAAATTCATCTACCTAATGAAGAGACTTGTAGATTTCTAGGATCTTGGTCATCATCCTCCAAATTTTCGTCTTTCCAAAGATGTCCGATGCCCAGAGCTCCGATTACTTGACGATCATATTCTATAATGACGATGATGATGGTGTCTTAAAAAGTGAAATTAAAGAACAATATTAACTTTACCTATTTTTTCTTATTTACTTGCCTTGACTATCCTTTGCCACAATTCCCACCTCTTCCTCTTCGTCATCATCACATTGGAATGATGCCAAACGGGTAGTCAATTTCGTATACGGCGCCAAGGTGATATTAGGACCAACGACGACCTAATAAATACATTAATATGAAGTGATAATATCATTATAACATAACGAAAATCACGAATGCTTACATTGAATGACAATAAACATCCTTTATTGATGATAACGTTTTCTTCGAGAACTACACCATTGGCTAATATCGATCTTGAGACAGAACAGTTTGCCTTGATTGTCACGTCATCCCAAATGTAAGCACCGTCGATTATAACATTGGGTCCTAATATTATATTAGTATAGTAGTAATAAGTATTAAATTCATTATGATGATGATAAGGATTAACATGTACCAATCTTCACCCGTCGTCCAATCACGGTATTCGTTATTTTAGAGTTTTGAGCAATCTCTGTGCCAGTTCCAATCAAAACTCTCACACCCAAAACACAAGATCTTTGGTACATGAATATATAAGAATATGACATATTAAAACAATCCATGAACCCTATTATTTAGCAAATCTTTTGCCACACAGAACCCAAATCTCGTAATTTTGACGTAAATTACAACCAATAGTAATATAAATCTACCTTGATAACACTACATCTTGTTCCTTGTATATTTGTCCACGCATATATTCATAGCTATCTCTCTCTTGCAAATTACTATCCGGTACAATTGGATATGTCCAACGTGATAACATATCTTTGCTATATTATTAACAATTCGTTTAGAGAGAATTTGATAATCTTGTGAATCACAATTTACAATGACAACACCACCTCAATATTAAAAATAATGATAATAGTATTTTTGTAAAAAAAAACTTACTTAAAAGAATTTACCTGATTGCATCATAGCTTTGTAGACTTTTTACTCGTGCGGCGTAAGCGTCTTTTAATGTATGACAATATATTGTCTTACCTAGTAGATCTGATGTTAGGATTCCATAAACAAAATCTTTTCGAATATCTTGGTAATCAAAATTCTCGGTAAATAGAGCAGGAACCTAATAGTAATTTCAATTAATAACGGGTAATTAACGACAGTAATAGCAGGGTTGAAAGTGAATCTCACCTCAACAGAACAGATATCAATTTGACAATCGATCAAATCGTTCCTTATTTGAACATCGGTATGTTTTTGGAATACTTCAAGATCCATTTCCATACGCCGTTTTCGCGGAAATATTTCAACAGCTTCGTAGTGTACACACTCATTGGTCTGTCCGTCTAATACAAATATCGAGGAATCGCTAATCGTTCTACGATTCATAAAGTGTGACTCAATTCTGATCATAAGAAATAAGAAAAGCAGATATTGCATAAATAGAAAATAACCTTGTTCGATGAAGCAGACTTGCTTCTTTGACAACCTGAAAGTGATAATTATTATCATAATTAGTTAAAGTTTGATTAGAGATAATAAGATAATCTGTTGAGCTATTTCTTTACCATAGTCATGATTGCATTTTTATCAACCAATTTTCGATCTCTTAAGAAGAAAAAATTGAATGTATTAATACATATGCGTTTTTGAGAGCAAGTCCAATCTACATAAAGAAGAGCATCTCAAATTAAGGATTATCATCACCTGTGAGCTGCCAACACCTGCTCAAGGTTGATATTTGATACCACATCACCAGTAACAAGTATAAAATCGGAACTAATTAACTGTTTCGCGTCTAATTCGCGTAATACATCCCCAACTGAGCGTGCCTCTGGTGTAATAATAGTAGTTATTTTTATTGCTGAATATGATCGATTCCACTTTGATGCACTAATTACAAGAACATTGATATTTACGCATCATGAAGTTTATGAATAAGAGATCGAATAAAGTAAATCAATAAAAAAAAGATATTTTTTCCTGTACTGCACTTTAAGTAAGCTTTTATTTGATCAACATGTTCTCGACAAAATAAAACAACTTCTTGCACGCCAGCTACGGCAAGAAATTCTAAAGTATACTCTATAAGGGGAGTATTGCACAAGGGTAAGAGACACTAGGGAAAGAAACAAGTGAGGAAGGGTAAGGTTAACCAAAATAAATAGTGAAATTCAAAGAAATCTAACAAAACTTTTAATGCCAGACACATACTCTGGGCTTCTCAAGTGTTATGGGCCTAAAGCGTTCATTAAAACTGTCTGCAAGTAATACAGCACACAAAGATGTTTCAGATTCTAAATTCTTTCCGGAACTTTTACTTGTGGGTGACATTTCAGCGAGTTTAAGTACGTGTAGTTCGTTCCTTGTGTCTTTAATAGGTAAATAGATAATGGGCCAATCATTTCCAAATAAATTTCTATTGGGTTAAACTTTTATATTTTCGAGTCGTGTCAATTTATTAAGTTGCTTTTGGAACATTACCCCAGAACAAATGTCAGTCAAGTCTAATGTTGAAAAAGGTGGAGGTGTTATCACTTTCGATATACCTTTACAGAATCCCGAAAATAATGTAGTATTTGTACCAAATCTCCTACAAGGCTTTCAACAAGAAGCCTCTGCCAATGAAAATATGGATCTGGATAGTTTGGAACCGAGCCCTTCCGATGACATTAACACGAAAACTTTTGAAGAATATATTATCGCAGAAACAGAGCGATATTTGACTAATCTTCAAAACAACACAACACCAGCGAACTCCGAATTCTATGCAGTTTCCCGTCCAAACGCGTCTCAAGAGTACTTTGGTGCAGCTACTTTTAAAGTGCCCGAACAATTTATAACATTATTCAAGCCTGCAACGCCAATCGGCTCCCCTGATAAACCACCGAAAAAGAGACAAGCTGGACCTGGAAGACCTCGAAAAAATTTACCACAAGAACCCAAGAAAATTACAAGTACACCTAGGGAACGAAAAAAAGATTCGGTGGCGGCGGCAGTTTCGGAAACTTCCACGGAACCTCGTAAAATACAAAGAAAGAGGAAAGCTGGTATTGTTTCCAGTGACTCCAAAGAAACAAAACCAAGGAAACGTGCAACAAAGGCAAAAGTACAAGAAGAAGAAACAAAAATTGAGAATAATAAAAAATATGATTCAAGCAAGAACGGAAATGAGAAATTTACTGAAGAGCAACGAAATGCTGATATTTTAAAAAATAAAATCAATAATAAAAATAATACAAATAATGCAAAGAAGGATAATCAAAATGAAAATGGCCAGGATACAAAATATTCATCTAGCGATGGAAGTGGGTTGAATAATAATTTAAATAATAATAACAATATCAATAATAATAATACGAATAATAATACGAATAATAATAATAACAATAATAGTACGAATAGTATTAGTATTAGTAATGGTAGTAATACTAATACTAATACTAACACTAATACTACTACTACTACTACTACTACTACTAATAATAATAATAATAATAATAATAATAATAATAATAATAATAATAATAATAATAATAATAATAATAATAATAATAACAATAATAATAACAATAATACAGTAACTCCTAAGGGAAACGCTTCAATAGCTGCACTTCGTCAAGCTATAGAAGAACAATTTGAAAGTTGTTTCTCCTCAAGTTCGCTCACTACTTCATTTTCATCAACGCCAGAAGAAGGATCACCGATCGATACTCCCACTCCATCTCGGCCTTCAACTCCTAACAAGAGACCAACCATTGCTGCCATCACCAACACCGTTGATATTATGCCAAAGACTAGCATGAATAGGAATAATACAACGAACAACAATAATAACAGAAATAATACTAGTAATAATAATCTTAATATTAATACTAGTAACAATAATACTAGTAACAATAATACTAGTAACAATAATACTAGTAATAATAGTACTAGTAATAGTAATACTGGTAATAATAATAATAATATTGGTAATAATAATACTAGTAATAACAGCAACGAAGTAACTACTCCCTTGACAATATCATCCGATTCATCTTCAACAACTCCATAATAACTTTTTTTTTGAATAAATGATTTCGTTGAGGAGATTCAATAATATTAATAATATTGTGAATCAAAAAGATAAATTTTTCGTGTCTTGCAAATACAAATAAATTATACGTGTGTAATTGTGTATTCATGAAGAGAGAGGGTATCTGGATACTTAAAATCACGTGAACAAAATTTCGATGTTTTTTGTGTTTGTCTTCTGTCTTTTTATCTGTCGACGAGGCCTGCATTTACACGCGCATCGTCAACAAACATGGATAAAACACAAAAATACGACCGCCAGTTAAGGTAATCTAATAATATATTAAGTCTCTTTTACATTACTTTGCGTACTTGGTTTAAACCTTAAGGATCTACTCTTTAGACTTTGGCAAGCAAGTGGTCAAGCAGCTCTAGAATCTTCGAAAGTTTGTCTTGTAAATGGAACAGCGACTGGTTGTGAAATTTTAAAGAACCTGATATTACCTGGCATGTTTTTTTTTACTTTCTTGTGACTTGTTTTTACTGCTACGCCCTGAACTATTATTATCATATTCGATTATTGTAGAATTAGCATTTTTACTTGTAATTCGACGATTATTACTATAAACAATCTTTATGTAGCTGGTTTGATTAGGTTTTATATTGCGTGATAATAGAAAATGCTAAATATTTTTTATATAAACATATATTTAGGAATTGGATCATATACTGTTCTCGATGGAAAAACGGTTGAAGCATCAGATATTGGAAATAACTTTTTCTTGGATGCAGAAAGCATTGAAGCATCTAGAGCCGAACGAGTTGCTATTCTCTTGCAAGAATTGAATGATGATGCTAAAGGTTTTCATTTAGCTGAAGTAAATCATCTATCCCCTATTGATTATTATATTTCTTTATTATATTTGATTAATTTTTTCAATATTGATGTTGTTATTCTCTATTAATATTAAATTATTAGGATCCAATTAATGTCATCAATACTCGTCCAGAATATTTCTTGCAATTTTCATTAGTGATTACCACTGACCTCCATGAAAAACCACTACTTAAGCTATCCGACATATTATGGAACGCCAAAATACCATTGGTAGTTGTTCGTATTGTGGGATTTATTGGGTACATACGCGTGGTATTGCCTGAACATACAGGTATGTATATATTTAATACTAGTAGTAAAAGTGGATTTAATATATTTTCTTGACATAACGTAATTGTGATTTAACCACGACGATTATTCATTAATAATCAAGTCGTCGAAACTCACCCGGAGAATATTTCCGATCTTCGACTTGACACTCCATTTCCTGCTTTACTCGAATATGCCAAAAGCTTTGATTTTGAAAAATTGGAAAGTCTTGAACATAGTCATATTCCTTTTGTGGTGATTTTGTTGAAGTATTTGGATCAGTGGCGAAATGAGGTGATTGTGATTTGTATTATTATTATATGTATAAAGACAGTATTAATCTTATTTTATTATTACATTAATAAAAATAGCATGGAAATAAACTACCTAGCACATCAGCTGAGAAGAATGCATTCAAGCAAGCAATAACAAGTGGTAAACGCGTTCCAGACGAGGAGAATTTCGATGAAGCATTAGCCGGTGTATGGAAAGCATGTTCTGTGACAAAAATTCCTTCTGAGGTTGAGAGAATCTATAATGATGCTGCGTGCTCAAATATTACTTTCGAAGTAAGAGAATGAATTGATAATTTCGGGGGGGGGAACAGTGACTTTATAGTTATTATTAGAGTATATTAAAATGGAAAAATTAAATTTTCTTACAAGTCTTCTAGTTTTTGGATTATTGCTCGTGCAATTCGTGACTTTGTGGAGAATGAAGGTCATGGATTATTACCATTGGCTGGAAGTTTGCCGGATATGAAAGCTGACACACAGAGCTATGTTGCATTGCAAAACATGTAAGTAAATGATTAATTGACGGATATGATAGTTAATTGATGATTAAATCGAATATTTTATATACTTTATCTTAAATTTTCTTAGCTATCGCCAAAAAGCTAAAGAAGATATTGCATTAGTCCGTGCCCATGTTCATAAAATCCTGTCATCAATAGGAAGACCGATTGACTTTATCTCTAATCAGGAAATCGAAAGTTTCTGCAAGCACGCAGCATTTATTAAAGTGATTCGCTATCGATCGCTACAAGAAGAATACATAAATAATCCAAAAAAATCCGAGATTGGTTGGTTGAATCTCCTGACTTTCAGGATTAATCGAATATAAAATTATTTATTTAATTTAAATTTCTTTTTGTAAAAAAGCACGATGGATACGTGATCCTGATGACAATATTGTTCATTATTTATTAATCCGTGCAATTGATCAGTTCTATGAAAAATATCAGCGTTATCCAGGTATATATATATTTACAAACTTAAAAATTTTTGAATTTTGATTCACTAAAATTTTGTGATTTCAGATGCTGCGACATTGGACGAGGAGGATGGAGGTAACGAATCAGAGTTTATTAATTTTAAATCGACAGTTAGTAATTTATTCAACGAGTATGGTATCAAAGAAATACCCACTCATGTTGATGACTTTATACATGAAACGTAAGTTTACGTAATCTCTATTTATTGCTATTATAATTGCTGGTTTTTTCAAATGTTGATTCTTTCTCTAGATGTCGTGCTGGAGGTTCTGAAATACCAAATATCGCATCACTCTTGGGTGGTCTCGTGTCTCAAGAAGTCATAAAGCTAATTACACAACAATATATTCCAATTGATAATACAACCGTATTTCAAGGGATAAGATCTACTTCTACTACGTATTCTCTGTAGACATTTATCGTCATCCTTAATACTTATTTATACAAGAATGTATCATTCATTCACTATACTTGGATATTTGCTCAAACACCTTCACTCTCCCTTAACATAAAACAGCAAATTTAGACGACAGTTTCAATTAATAGATTTTTTTTTAAATAATGAGATAACTTTCTAATTTAAGCGAATAACATGATCTCGAGTAGATGCGCGTAACTAACAATAATTTCATAATTCTGGTAAGAACTATCTGCATAAATTTAACGTGTAGCCGATCTTCCTATCTCATCTATCTGCAATGATTCAAGATGCATCATGCAAAAAGCCAGTGATCTAAATTATTGACGGAACCCAAAATTATTTTTTTTAGGAAAGGTGAACACGTTTTCACTATTCGTTTACTGAGACGACTGTTGTTTTTTTTTGTTGTGTTGACCAAATTACGAAGCGCACAACTTTTCATCAATTTTAACCTTCCACTTTTTAATAAAATGGCTTACCAGCAATACGATCAATATGGTCAACAACTCGCTCAATACGGTAGCAGCATGGATAATAAAACAACCTTATGGTATATGTCTTTTGAGATCGCATTGTATAATGCCAGCTTTTTTCGGGAAACTTTAACTTCTAGTTGAATTATGTAGGATGGGTGAGCTTGAGCCTTGGATGGATGAAAACTATATCAGAACTGTTTGGTATCAATTAGGTGAACAAGTTAACGTGAAGTTTATTCGGGACAAGTTCACAGGGTTTGTATTATTTACATGAAAATGACTATTATATCACAAAGTTCTTTAAAGCTTGACTTTGTGTTGTGTAATTTAGACAAAATGCGGGTTATTGTTTCGTTGATTTTGTTAGTAATGCGGCAGCCGTTAAGGCATTAAGCACAGTTAATGGTACGCTTATTCCAAATACTCAACGAGTATTTAAGCTTAATTGGGCTTCAGGTGGCGGTTTAACTGATCGAAAGTAAGCCTTATCATTATGGTTTTGTTGATTAAGTATTTAGCAACAAAGATGCGCGTTCAAAAAATATTGATTTCTGCATCTGTTAAAATCATGGAGCAGGGATGATCGAGGTCCAGAATTCTCTATTTTTGTAGGTGATTTAGGACCTGAGGTTAATGAATGGATGTTAGTGGTGAGTTTCTCCTGTTATTGAAGATTCTCGTGTATATAAATAATGAATATCCTAATTATATTGTTTGAATTTATTGATTAGACTACTTTTCAACAACGATATCCAAGTTGTAAATCTGCTAAAATTATGACAGATCCAATGACGGGCATGTCAAGAGGCAAGTTTATTATTATCAACAAATAAATTCTTCGTTAATTTATTATATTAACGATAAATAAATCATCAAAATATTGATCTTATTAGGATACGGATTTGTTCGTTTTGCTGATGAGGCGGAACAACAGCGTGCTCTCATTGAAATGCAAGGACTATTCTGTGGAAATAGACCAATGCGCATCTCAACGGCCACTCCAAAGAATAAAACTACTGGCATTCAGACTCCCTTTTTCACTCAACCTGCACAACCTAATCCAACTTTGAATCAGTATAATGATCCTAACAATACTACCGTTTTTGTTGGTGGATTATCAGGTGTTAATAGTGAGGATGAATTAAGAAGGTACTTTATTGAATCATTCTCTTATGTTATCAGTAGTAATATCTTTTGTCGATTTATTATCAATTTATTCTTATATAAATATAAATTAGTTATTTTGCCGGATTTGGTGAAATTACTTATGTCAAGATACCACCAGGCAAAGGTTGTGGCTTTGTTCAGTTTGTGCATCGTCAAAGTGCAGAAATGGCAATTAATCAAATGCAACATTACCCAATCGGTTTGTATTTAAGTGAGAGTTTGTATTTTAATGAGATTTATTTGATTCTGCTGTTGTTTGTTAATGTTTTTTGTCGTGTTTTTTATCATGTTATTTGTATATAATAATCATGTAATTTATTGTGCATAGGAAACTCACGCGTTCGACTGTCCTGGGGAAGATCACAAAATGACAAAACTGCAATAACGACCGCCTATCGGTAAAAGTTTTTTCTAAATTAATTAATTTGATTATTGTAAAAATAAAAAAACGTAATCATATAAAATTCGAATCTAGGAATCCTCAGCAAGCCAGTCCTTATAATCCCTTGGCTGGAATGACATCAGCCACCGCCTATTCCTCTTATCCCGCAACTACTCCTGCAGTCACAACACCTGTCGCAACGGTACCTGCTCCGATCCCTCAAGTTACTGTTGATCCATTAGAACCGATTCCTGTTCAGCGTATGAATGAAATGTATATCTCTAACAAGGAAGGTCTAATTGAGAGATTGGATACAGATGGAAGTAGTTGGAGAGGAATCTATGCACAATAAGAATCCTTTATAATTATATTATTATTTCTTTTTCCTTTATTCTATCTATTCTACATTTAGTGTCATTTTTCTTGATTCTTTTTTTTTCAATAATAATATATTAATAAATAATATAAATATATAAATGCTTTATTTTCCTTTAGTTATTTCTCTATCACAAAAATTCCCTTATACATCTGAAGTGCATTTTGTAAACATAATTTGCTTTTTTTTCCTTCCTTATATCATCTCTTTTTCGTCGTGTGTGTGTGTGTGTGGGAGAGTGATTTAAACATTCTTAATGACTTGTAAAATCTGATTTTGGAGTTTGGGATTTTTCTTTGGCATATAATTGAACGATACACAATATAATAAAGTAGCCTTAATCTTTCAAAAAAAGTAATTCTTGAAAATAAATATGTTCGATACAATTCTTCATTGTCGAAAAAAACACAATGGAATTAATAACACGTGACAAATTCTACTGCGTGAAAAGAAAATTAAGAAAATTTCCGAAAAAATGCTAATAATGATTATGATATGGCGCAGTTAATAAAAGTTAAAGGAAGTTAGTTTATTGCAATCATCTAAATATCCGGAGTTCGGACTCTATAAATATAAAGATAAAAACCGCGCCCAAGGTTGATTCCTTAGCTAAAAAGACGCGAGTATATAACTAATATACTATCGTCATCCTTTCCCTTCTCTTTATTATCCTTTGCCTCGTCGTAAGTATTTTTGCTTTTGTTCAGTCTTCTACCTCTAAACTGATAATGTATCGTCATTGTTACTTTGGGGCTTACTCCTCCAAGAGGTATTCACTCAGATCCTAGGCATCTGCCTTTTTTACCACTTTTACGCAGTATTTGGCTTTGATTCTTTGAATGTAGAAGTTACTTAACATTCGTATTGTATATAGAAGTAGTGTTCATTTTTATCAACCTAGCGTTCTTTGCGAAATTATAAATCATTTCAATACATTTACATTTCAAGCTCATTGAATTATAGATAACAAGCCATTGCTTATTTAAGAGTCTGACCTTTCCTTGTGATTTATTCCTTTTCATCCCTTGTCTTGTCGTTATACAATCTACTCCAACCACAGGAAAAATATAAACCATGGGGCGAAAAGAGTTTGTACAAGATGTAAAGAAATTAAAAGATTATATAAACGGGTTGAACTTGAGAAATAATGTATTGATAAAAGGTACACACAAGATGATTTACTGGGATCGATACCAAACATGATTCTTTTACTTGCTAATTACTTTTGATTGTTTCCATTTTCGAATAGGCTTTGATTTTCAAGACCCAGAACTTAATTTTCAATTTCAATACAAGACTCGCAAATCTTTTACCATTAAAATATATGTCATTGGTAATGGCTTTTACTCTTGAATTGCCTAAAGTGTTTGTAATTAATAAAATTAAATATGTTTAAAATACTCAATTCCTGTAACCTTCTATATTATCTGTTTTCTCTTACTGTCAGATACTTCTTTGTCGCTATATCCGACAAAATTTAGTGGAGTTATTTGTGTAGATGGCGATAGCGAAACTAACGCTGGTATTTATTTTATGAATTATTGCAATTTTTTTTTCAATATGATCAAGCTTATAATTCTATTGATATTACTAGCTGCCGATCTCCTACAAAAAGCTAGCATTGAAAACAAATCTGTGGGCGAAATAGTTGCTACTATTACGCGCTTGCTTTGTGATCACTTTAAAATTTATCTCCCTAAAGAATTGTCGATGAATGCTTTGCGAGAGTTCGGTGGATCCGCAAATAACTCTTCTGCTTCTTCCCATTCTATTCAAAAGCCGTTGGCCCCTGTCAAATTGACGCCTGCCATGTTACTACAAAGGGATCTCGATGAATTGAAACACTGGAAGTAAGAACTTTTGATTTTGAGTGTTATTTTTTCTTAATGATAAATAATTAAAAATGATTGTTATTTTCACTATCCTTAGTTATTTCGGAGAGCTTCTTTGCGCGGATAATATGGGATATAAAGTGACAATCTCAATGCCCGTTACTCGACTTGGTCTAAGTTTAGAAGCATGCGAGGCGTGGAATCTGGAACCAAATCGGTTATTATTTTACTATTACATTACCTTATAATGACATTCATGAATTCTTCTGTTAATCCATATAAATGCATATAGATATATCGTGTGCACAATGCAATTCACAAAATCTTATGTTGATTTGGAGAATGAAATAAAAAATGCTTCTCGAATTTATTCACACGTATTCAAAGAAAGAGGAGGAGGATATCCGGCATTGAAGGACTTGTTAAAAAAGCAATATAATATAAGGTACACCGTTTTGACGTCTTCTCAACAAAGAGGAGTTTTTAGTCAGTCACATCACAAAGACGATTTTCTGGAAAGTGATCATTTTGTGTTGTCGTGGACCTTGACCGAATTACTACGCAGCAAATTTTTCGATATGTTATGCGATTCTATATGGTTTGGTGTCAGTTGGGGAGGTGCTGAACAAGCAGATCTTATGCGAAATAAGAATCAGATGCATAATTATTTGTATGATGGAATAGTCGACAGGCGTCTTCTCCATGATCAAGAGTCGCATGGACAATTATTCTTTTTGGAAGCAGAAAAGAGTGAACATGCTAGCGCTGCTAAATATCAAAATTTTCTATTAATTGTATTGCGCTTTCTCCGTCGAAGAATTTTACTCTCTACCAAATACTGTCTTACTTGTCATTATCCACACGGTGAATCTGTGTCTTCTATTCGACCATTTGTTTGTGGGAATCCATTGTGCCAACATCAGTCATTAGTGGGACTTGGCAATCTGTTCGAAGCTGTATTAGTGAATAGCCCGGTGGTGGTCGATTTATTGATATCCTTGTGTTATGTAGCAATTCAGGGACAAAATCTGAGTCCAGCTCCGACTAAGGCTATTGGTGTCACGATTTCGAGTAAGTTTGAAGGAGATAATTCATTGGCGGTTGAATGGAGTGACACTACTGGAACTATTGGAACACCGTCATTTACTACTGGATATGAAGTGTTCGGATGGAAAGGTTTCGAGAACAAAGTGAAACGAAATGACTTGCTTGAAGTCTACAATCCTGACACAAACCAACCATTTCCTGTGAATCGATCAAACACAGCTACTACAGTTCGAGTACTGGAGGTCCATCCGAATTATCTAATCACAGATTTCCCTATAGTTTTCCCGATTTCTGCTGTTCCCAATAAACCTGTATATTTACCATTCCGTTTATTTCGTCGTACGGAATGTAATTTCCTTACGGCTGATGATCTCCCAAATTATACACTGTTGCAAACGGTGATAGATCGTTTACCTAGTGTGACTACGATGGTACAATATGCTAAAAAGAAGACACTCAAGGCAGAATTGGACAAATTAGAACATTTATGTTTCCCTCTTTTGTCTTGGATTATCTCCTCGAATCGAACACATTTGCGGTTACTTGAATCTAACGAGGAAAAAGTACAGTTCAATGAAGGAGCGGCAACAGCATATGCGAATTGGAAGCAATTTGTGATGATTATGAGTTCTCCGGAGAAAGAACAAGAATTCCAGCGTGAAAAAGACAGATTACGGAAAGAAAAACCTGGTCAAAGTAATAATATTTCTTGTTTATTATTTTCGATTCTTTATTTTCTTAATTAAGAAACTTTAATAACTCTGCACACTTTGCAATACAAGACTTGGGAGAATTATATGCTTTCCATGGCTCACCTCTAAATAATTGGCACTCAATCATCCGGTGAAGATTATATTCATCAGTTTATGTTAGTGAAAATTTAATATTTGCTAAATTTTTATTATTTTCTGTAACAAACCAGAACAAGTCTTAATTGGAAGAGAGTGCTTCATGGTCGAGCGTACGGTGATGGTGTTTATCATTCACTTCAAGCTGCAACTTCGGCATCATACGCTGGAGCACCCTACCATAAATATGATGTGGGCGTATGGAAAAATTCCATGCTTGTAGTCACAAAATGTATGGCTTTAAGTGAAATTGTTAATAGACCAACACAATTTACAAGGTGAAACTTTGATTTAATATTCAAGAGAATTTTGTACATGCTTATAATTTGTTAAGAAATTTGTCGTCTCGTTACTCTTCAGTACGAGTCCTCATCTTGTCGTACCCGACGAATCATGGATAACAACACGTTATCTTTTCGTTGAATGTCTGCGAAATCCATTAGAGCCAACAAGTGAGGGTGAAGATGATGAATGCTCTTTTATCTACGTACCAAATGTTAATACCGGACAAGTCAACTCGATGCGCCAATCTTTAAAAAAAACAATTACGAGTCCTTTCACTTCTTTACGACAAAATAACAAAGAAAAAATCCCTGAATTCATAAAATTGGACTCACAATACGCCCCCGTGTGGTTCAATAATCATCCTTTACAAATACCAAAACGGGATTTCTTGATAATTGCCAATGATTATCCGAAAGATAGTTCAAGAGGAATTGGACCATTCCATTATCAATTTAATAGTTCTGTTAGTGTAGGAACAGCAGCTGTGAATCTCATCCTTGCAAATGGTTCATTATCTGACGATGACATTATGGAAGAAGATTATGAAGAAGAAGATTCAGAAGATGAAGATTCACATCCATCTAAATTGTCAAAAGACAAAGGTAAAGCTCGCGATGACGAGGATGATGAGGAAGTTGATGATGACGAGGATGATGAGGAAATGGATTATGATGATGACTATTATGAAAATGATGATGTTGATGATGATACTTTCAATTTCAAAGAACCTGAACTCTCAAAACAACAATATGATCAACACGTTGAAGTTGGTAAGTAAAATTAATTTTTTCCATTAAGGTTGACTATTCAAGCTCAGGTGACTAAAAATTATTCTTTTCTTTTTTGCACGTCTTAGATGATGGTTTTGATCCATCATTATTACCACTTCCAGGTATTATTTTATTTGCTGTGTTTTTGCACAAAATATTTGGTCAAATTGAGTGATTGGATTTTTATATTTATTATAATATATCTATTTAATAGCCGAGTCATCCAAAACAGCGACACAAAGAATATGTAAAGAACTGCGTCAAATAGTACAGAAACAAAGCGAACCCAATAATGATCTTTCATTTTCAATAAATACGGATATGCTGCAGTCTATGTATCAATGGGTAATTAAGTTTCATCGTTTCTCGGCCATTATCTTAGATTGCAAGAAAAATATTGATGTTTCTATATGAATGAACAGGTTATACAAATGAAAGATTTCGATCTATCATTGCCTCTAGCACAAGACATGAAGAAATATAAAGTTAAAACTATTGATATGGAAGTCCGATTTGCCCCCGATTATCCATTCGTACCTCCGTATGTAATTTTAATAATATTCTAAATAGCACGAATCGATGCTAACATCATTAATATATCTTTTCTGACGTATTTAAGGTATATTCGGGTAATTCGCCCAAGATTGTTAAGATTCATGGAAGGAGGGGGTGGACATGTAAGCTTAAAGTTTTCATATATTTGGGTTATTCTATTTTTAAACTAAACTTTTTGGTAAATACAGGTGACTGCTGGTGGATCCATTTGCATGGATCTATTGACACTTGGCAATAATACGGAACGTGGTTGGTCTTCAGTATATACAATGGAATCGGTCTTGCTACAGGTGACCCATAAAAAGAAACAAGCATCTTACTTTCTGAAATAGTTATTAACATAAGATTCAATTTATATTTAATTTAGGTTAAAATTGCTTTAAGTTCTCTGGAACCTAAACCCGCAAGACTAGATCCAAGGTATTGGAACAGTGAATATAATCCAAATGTAAGCAACAAACTATATCTCTTCAAATGATTATTCATTATGAATAATTACTGAATATTTTTGTTCATCTTTTTGCAGGAGGCTATGGATGCATATATTCGTGTCGCAAATCAACACGGTTGGAGAATCCCCCCACAATGGTCTTCTTTGTTTGGTCGTTGATCTTCCTTCTTCCGTTTGATCTACCTATTTTAAGCTAACATCTGGATTTGTGTGTTCCACCTTTTTTTTGACTGAATGTGTTATATGAACAGTTTAGTGTATGATTCTTACTTTCTTCAAGTCCTCATAGTAAAGATGCCTACCATATACCCATATTTATCCCTTTGATACATATGGTGTATTAAATTCTGTAAATTTTAATGCTTTCTCTTCACATCAAGGGAACCTTTATAAAAAAAAAACCTAAACATTTTGTAAAATAGAACTTTGCGTTCCAATAATAGAACTTATTCTCCATACTTTGGGATTTACAATCTCTAGATATTTTAATAAATGATAATCACCCACAGCACATCTTTTGAAAATAATAATGTTCGCGACAAAACCCTTACGACTTCTATTAAAGTGCAAAAATATTTCCTATTACTCAAACTCCACCCTCAAAACATTCTCTTCTTCAACGCACAATAACACCAAGAGCTGTATAGGCTGTTTTATTACTACTAACTATCACAATGCTTTTTTCTCCTATTCCTGCAGACGCGCATTTCTTTCAACAATACCAACAAGACCTCCATCACCGACAAAGTCTAACAAACCTTCAATTAAACACAAAACCACACGCACCCGAAAACCTTTTCCAACTCTTGCGACGAAAACACGTTACATAATTTATGGGGCACTTGGTGTTACTGTCTGGATCGTTGCTGTAGCTGTTGCCTGGAACCACGAGAGACTGTCAACAAGTGCAATACAAGGATGTATGTTTAATGTGAGATATAATGAAGAAGCACGTGCGGCTTTAGGAGATACTATTAATTTTGCTTCTACTTGGCCTTGGATTTCCGGAACGGTTAATCATTTAAAAGGACGTATCAACGTTTGGTTTCGGGTAAAGGGCGAAAAAGGTAAAACAATAATTTCTGTCGTATATCGGGTTTATGTATTAACGCTTATGTATTATGTTCAACAGGTAAAGGAACTGTACACTTTCATTCTATTCGTCGTGGTCATGGACAAAATTGGCAAGTTGTTGATTTTTCATTGACCATTGATGATGGACGCGTCATTTCTTTGAGTGCGCCCACAATGGAAAAATATATTAGCAGTGATGCTTCGATAACTGCTGGTGGTGCCGGTAATAATAATAATACTGTTGCTGCTACTTGATTGTTTTTTAATAACTATCAAAAAAGATTTTTTTGAAGTTCGTGTAATAAATAATACCCCAAACTTTATGTATACTCGCATGCTTAAATGCGTGTCCCTTTCAAAATAATAAATCAGTCTATCCCAGAAAGTTATATTCTGCAAATTTGAATCTACTTTCGTTTATTCAAAAGTAAATAATTGTATGAAACAACACATTCTTTTCGGGATGAGAGAAAATAAGTTTTTTACTGCTCCTCATTAAGCAATGTTATTATTAATAAGATTTTATATATATAGCAAGTTTATCAGATATTATAATTGACGCGGAGGGGGAATTTTAACTATACATATATTTATATTTATATATATATATGTATGTATGTATGTATATCCACACACACATACATATATATATGTGGATATTAAAATTCTTAATATGGGTATATGATATATATGTATATGTGTGTATACTCTTTCTTCTTGATATTCGAGTGCAAGTAAATATCATCGAGAAAAATTAATATTATGTTTGTTAAGTCAACAGAATAATCGGGTGTAAAAAATTATATATGCAGATAATAATAAAAAATAAAAATAGCGACGTGTTGTCGGATAGTTTTTGAGTGTGCAGTGATGCTGATCCGACAATGATGATATTTTAATTTTTTATCTAGCTTGTTTGAACGCTGCTATTACAATCCTTTGACTATAGAGTAAAAGGAATATTAAAATCGTTAGGATTTCGATCTATATCGACGAGACGAGATAAATTTATGATGTACTTACAATGTGACCTCGCTCACCACAGCGGTAACAAGTTTTCTCAGATTTATCGGATGAATTTGGAGCATTTGGACAATCGCGGGACTATTTTTATTAATGAAATAGATAGAAACGAAAGGAATTCTGTGATTAGACAGACTAAATGGTATGGAAAATAGAAAGATGCATTTACTTACGATATGACCAAATCGCCCACAATTATAGCATTTTACGCCATTTGCTTGGCAGTCTTTTGCATAATGATTGAAACCGCCGCATTTGTAGCAAATTACGCGGTTACCACCGCCACCATAACCGCCTCCTCCACGGGGTCCACCACGATTACCCCCATATCCACCGCCGCCGCCGCCATATCCACCACCGTTACAATTACGGGCTAAATGACCCTAATGAATAATAATAGTAATACGATAATAAATAAGTAAGTTCGGATAAAATAAACTCAAATAAAAAATAAATTTTACTTACAAAGCGACCGCAATTATAGCAACGACCGCCCCCGCCGCCACCACCATAACCACCTCTGTCACCTCGATCTCCTCTGTCACTTCGTTCGATTCCACCCGCATTACCGTTAACACGAACAGAGGAGCAATCAGCTTGAAGGTGTCCAACTAAAAATTCATTATTTTTATAAAATAAACGTCACTGTTGAATCGTATATATTATAAATACACGAATCGTGATAATATATGCTAGGTAATAGACGTTTGCCTTTTTGGTATGATGAATTATTAATTCAATTACATACCGCTACCACACGAGTAACATTGTTTAGCATCGGCAGTTCTGGGTTGAGGGCATAAATTTGCCTCGTGACCAGGTTGTTTACAATTATAGCAAAGCCTTTCGGATTCGGGACAAGAGTCAGCAAAATGTCCAACTAATGAATTTTTAAAATTAGAATTTTAATCTCAAAATTTTCATTATTCAGATCAAAGCATTTATTTTTTGACCTGAATGCCGAGCATATAGTACTGAATGACGAAAAGAGATGAAAATTTGGTACGTACCGTTACCACACTTGAAACAGCCTCTTCTAGCAAAAGAAGACATTTTTGCTCAGTTAATGAATTTTATGAAATTAAGATATTATTTAGGGAATGTATAAATGTTATTGTCTACTGAAGGTAAAAATACAAGTATAGAAAGAAAAGTGATGGGAGGACTATAATTTAATAAAAATAATAATAAAAATAATAATAAGGCCTATGTATGTGTGTGTCTACTAATAACAAGAAGTAACAGTGTGGAGTGGAAATAAGTAAGCATATAATAAAATAGAAAGGACTCCGCCGCTTTTGCACAAATTGCTAATAAACCCCTTCCTTCTTCGTCAACACGCAACAATCAATCTACGCTTCTGCTTCTGCTTCCGCCTTGAACCAAAGTCTACTAAAGATGGCCTTTGCACACTCGACTATATTGTCCTTTAGAAAAACTTGTGTTGAGTCAGGCCACCCAATACGAAAGTCAAAGAAAAAGAAAAAAGTGCTACAAAAAGGTGATGCCGCGTATTTATTTTATTACATACACATTTATTCAAGATTATAAATAAAACTATATCAGTATATCATCGATTTTGTGTCATTGGATATATAGTACTTATATGGCAGGTAACACTCATTTTTGTTTGACCCTGCATTTTTTGTTTGACGCAGAAGATTCATTGACATTAACATTAATGAATTTTTTCAACATCATCGACATGTGATCATTGGAGCAGTGTTGTCACTTGGACGTGAATACAGCAATTTGATTGGTCGGGACGCTTGTCCCAACCAATCAAATTGCTGGATTCACGTCCAAGTGACAACACTGCATTGGAGCGTTTTGAAATTATAGGTCATCTGAATATTTCAAAAGCAAGTGTGCTATAGAAAATCTTTATTTGTGATCATTATGAAAAGGTTTATATATTATGGTTACGTGTAATTAATGTCAACCATAATAGTCCAATATATAAAAACTTGTATGAATGCAAAGAGTGACGAACAAAATAAATTAAATTATTCTCTATTTTTATAAACGTCTAAGGTTCTTCTTTGGGTTGAGAAGTTTCCTCGTCCTTGACAGCGTCAGTTTTCTCGTCTATTTTATTTTATTAAGATTAAGATTATAATTTGATGATGATGATTAAGAAAAGATTCATTAAAAAAAATTGTATTTATTTTTAATACGTACTGCTCTCTCGTTTATCCGCGGTCCAGAGTGTCAAATTGTCTCTCAATAGTTGCATAATTAATGTTGAATCTCTATAACTTTCTTCGTTAAGTGTATCCAATTCGGCGATAGCATCATCAAATGCTTGCTGAGCCAATTGACAGGCATTACTAGGAGAATCGAGAATCTCAAAATAGAATACGGAAAAGTTTAGTGCTAAACCAAGACGAATTGGGTGAGTGGGTGCAAGTTCGGTAACGGCGATTTCACTTGCGGCTTTATATGCTTCCAAGGATTTGTCTGCGGATGCTTTACGCTTGTCGCCAGTAGCAAATTCTGCAAGGTATCGGTGATAATCACCTTTCCTATTTATCGTTACAAAACACAATAATCAATTAATAAAGAGTTAGGACATAAAAATGTAAAGATGATGTAAAGGAACGTAAACATACATTTTATGATAAAATACTTTGGATTCACCGGTTGCAGCAGACGGGATTAAGTGAGCATCCAACACATTTAAAATATCTTCACATATCTTTGCTAATTCGTTTTCTATCTTTATACGATATTCCTTGATGTATCCAACTTGGACCTCGTTGCCCTTGTTCTCTTCTTTCTGTTCGATTGAAGATACAATACGCCAAGAAGCACGTCTTGCTCCAATTACATTTTTATAGGCAACAGAAAGCAAGTTACGTTCTTCGACGGTGAGTTCTTGATCCGCAGATGCGACTTGCTTCATGTTTTCAACCATTTCTGTAATGTTATAAAATGGAAATATTTTTTCGATTGATATAATTTTCTTTGGGAATAGGAGTAAGAGGAGGAAGATGATAACGATGATAACGATGATGATGATGATGATGATGATGATGATGATGATGATTATTATTATGATGACGAGTTTGCCCGCCAATTACTATTAGCAAAGTAGAAAATATTTTTAAAAAATGTTGGGTTTGATCGAATCTCTATTTAACTTATCGATCGTTAAATTTAATAAGACTAAATGAGATTTAGATGCATTACGCAGCCATTTTTATCGCACACGCCAATTCACTCATTCATACCACAGAAAAAAACAAACAAGATGAGGTTTCTTTAATGTCTCAATACTAATCAAGCGATAATTTTCATCGATTTCTCTCCCTCAAGGTAGACTCACCTTCATAGCGCTCAGCTTGTTCGGCGAGCTTTGCTAGATACACATAGTCTTCGCGTGAATCCATGCTTTTAAAGTGTTCAAGTAATTTATGAGCAAAGGAGAGAGTATAACACGGTAGATGTAGATGATAAACGTCAAGACTTCTCTAGACTCTGTATATAACAGGGTATTCGCGTGAGGTTTAAAAATCACGCGTAGGAGAAAAGAAATGGGTAGATAAGAACGCAGAAAGAAATAGCGAATAAATAAATTAAGAATTACAAGATAATTTCTTTTTGAGTGATAATGCGGGCAAAAAGTATGTTTTATTGTATGGGAATACTGCATTACACACGAGCCCAGTTTCAGGGGCAATCGTCACAATAGTACTACTATTACAAGCTCAAGGATGTGTAACCAAATTTTGATAGAGTATACTAATAAATCGAAGAGGCAGTTTTTAGGTTTTCACTTTCACCAAGAATCAAACTGTAGTTGTTTCAATTAATGACTGGTTAAATCTTGACCTAAGAATTGATAGTTTGATATCTGTGGGATTCATTCGGCTTAACACATTCAGAATTTGGTGATCAAGTGACCTTCAGACGAGAGCTGACAAGTTTTAAGGTTCTCATTTCCCCACTTCACCTATAACTTAACTGGACTGGTGGCCTGAGTGAATCTCGATATAACGAACTAAACTATCCCATTAGTGAAATTTCAAACACTCCATTATACCGAGACTTTACTAATAAATCCGTCATATCGAATAGGATTTATTAGACTGTTTTGCGGTTATATCGAGGTTCACTTTGTATTGTGAAGTTGTTTAATAAATCCTATTATAAATAAAAAAAATAACGATAAAAATCAGCTTGAAACACTTCTGGTGCAAGATAAGTTGCTGGGCTGGCTGGAAAGGCCTGATCTACACTGGATGAACGGATCACCAATTCTGAGATTTCGGACCAGAAGAAATTCAATTCGAATCAGAAGAAATAAATACACTACTTATTTTGATGAAAGGGTTTTTTTTATTATGAACAAATCCATAAAAGCAATAAATAAAATACAATTATCTAGGAACTGTTAAGAAGAGAGGTTGTTGCGTGTCCAGTACAGCAGTAGCTGGTGTGGTATTAATAATGTTTGGTTTTAATTCATCGTCTCCTTCAGCGGCAGTAGTACCAGTACCACTACTACTATTAATACTACTGATGCTGCTAATTCGTAATCGAAGTTTTGATTCATCTTTTAACAAGTCTTCAATGTGTGAAGTAATCAAGTTAATAGCTGCAACGTTATCCGCTCCTCTAGGTATAATGACATCTGATGTTTTTTTCGTCTATATATTTGTATTTGTGGTATTAGTATTAGTATTAATATTAATATTAATATATTAAATATTATAATGAAATAGGATCATTTGTTACTACCGGCAAAACAAAGTCTTCATATGCTGGTTTTACATATTTAATATATTGATTTAAAACGTATTCTAATGGGTAATGATGTCTTTGCGTAGTATCCTGAAGTACTAAAAAAATTAATTGATTAATTAACTAATAATAATAATATTAATAATAATATTAATAATTATATACCTCTCTGTGCTAATCTTGTGTCACTATCAACATGGACGAATATTTTCATTGAAAGTGAATCACGTATTTTTTTCTCGTATAAAATCAAGATTCCTTCAAATAAAACGACATCTGGCGGTGACAAATGCCGTGCCGATAGATTTCTATTAATCGTCAACATAATATCAACAATAATATAATGTAATAATATATAACTAGTAAATATAGTTGATACCTTGTTCTAGTATCAAAATCATAAGAAGGCAACGTAACTGCTTTCCCAGCTTTTAACTCTTCAACAACTTTCTCGACCAGATCAAAATCGAATGCATCTTTTTTATATTTCAAAAGCATGGAATGAGCAAGAGAATGTATTATAAATATTTGGAATTTCTTCTTACTTGGATGATCAAAATTGAATTGTCCTTTTTCAGCCAATTCTTTTTCATCGTCACTAAATTCTCGATAAAAATCACCCAAACTTATAACGACTACTTTACGAACAGCTTTCGTGTGTTTATTGAGCCGTTCCATAATCATATTACATACTGTTTTCTGATGATAAAGTATTAATGTAAAATCAATTATTGAGGTAATTTATTCCTAAATTAAGTTGAATTTATTGGATAATTCTAATTTGTGGAAGCTAGCAGCAATTACGTACATTTAAGATATTCCAATTTACTTACCTTGCCACTAGCAGAGCCGCCAGCAACACCTATTAAGAAAGGTGAACGTATAGCTGTCTTATTTTCAATTGAGCTAGGAGTTTTTTCATCGAAAGACATTTTGAAGGATTCTCGTTCGAGTGTGTAAAAGGAACAAACACACACCCAAAAAATCAGATGTCACGTGTATATAATATATCTTGAAACTCTATCTCATCTCGCAATTCTCAAGTATAATAATAAGAATGGTAAAAATATTATTTATAAGCCCTACTCTTTCGATATTTTGTACTGGTCTTAGCGCAGCGGGTGTTGTTTTTTTGGTTTGTAACTACGTTTTTTGTTTTTTTTGCTTTTTTTGATTATTCGACTTCTCAAGCCTTAAATACTAAAATATAATTACCACTTAATAAGCTTGTCCTTGGTGCTCTTTTTGATGCAGAAGTTGAAGGTTTAACCGAGTCTGTTCATGATCCTGATAATCCTCGTGCAGTGGCAAAAGCGTGTTATTTGGCAGCTATTATTTATTTTGGGTTCTTTGCAACTTGTGGCTGTCAGGTAATAATACCGAAATATTTTGTTCTTCGTTTCTATTTTTATTCGTACATTATAAATTTAACATTACATATCGATTCTTATTTAAAGGCATTAGCTCATAAGAAGCTATCTCAGAATCAAATTAGATTATAAGATGGGAAGATGAAGAGAATAATTATTGTTCTCCTTCATTCACTAAAGCTTAAATACAGAACTAGTTAAGTTTTGAATTCATTTATACAAATAAAAAGCGAATATCCTTTAGAATAAACAAAAAGATGTATTATGCTAGAACTTTGTAAAATTACTTTATTCATTTTTTAAAACTTTGTACTGACAATAAATAATTACCCACGAAACTACTATCTACCCTTATTAAGTCTCATAAGCATCCATTCCAATTTCCTCCTTTCAGTTGTTCAAACGAAAATAATCCTGCATTCACAAAAACTTGCCTTTCTTGAGAATCGTTTCCGAATGTTCTCTACCACAACTTGCTTATCAAAGCCAAGCATTCTAGTTGTTTGGATAAAAAGCTTGAGAACTTCTCATTATTATTATAACTCTGATCTAATAATAACTTGTTGAGAGATTGTATCAGTCAGAAAATAATTCGCAGACATTTTAGATTTTGGTAAATTCTGCAATTATCGTTGAAATTTGCAAATAAGATGACTGAAGAGCAGAAATATGCGAGATCACTACATCCGGCCAGAATAATTTGCTCCACAAGTTAATCAGGTCGCAAAGCTCGACTACAATTTCAGAATCTTGTTTTTTGTATCTCTTCCATACATATTTAGACCCGTCTTTCAAACTGATGACTTTTAGATTTGGACGTTTGGCTTTCTTTCCAATAAAATCCAGGACCGGGTGATATGTTGCCACTGTCGATGGAAAATTGTTAGCTCTTCTATGGATGAGGTTATATCAAATTTTTAATCAAGTTAAGTCAAAAAGATTTTGGTGGGTTGGATGTCTCGTCTTACACCATCAAAAATCAGCGTGTAATTAGTATCTTCCATAAACTCTCCTTGCTAAAAAGAATAGCCGTCATTATTCCTCATAGTTTCATTCTTGTTGCGCCAAATTGAGTTTCTGTATAGTTCACCACGTTCTCGAGATCACTCCAATGAAACTCTCTCTGCTATGTGAAGTGTATACAATAAATAAGAATGAGATAAAGATGCAAATTAATCGAAGCCAGAATCAATCGACACTTGATAACAATTAGCTCGCTGATATTTTATTTTTACAGTGGATGCCGTGGAAAATCAAGTTATTTATCATCAGAAAAATTCCTGAAATGCATTATTTGGTAGACCTTCGATTTGATTTCATTCTTGAGTTGATTATCCAGTCAAAGATATATGAGAATTAGTCCAAAGTTTGACAATAGAAACTATACAATACTTCTTAAAGAATTAGTTATTTCAGAGAGCACGAATTGTTTTTCTTGTCAAAATGAAATTTTCAACAGGAAAAATATATATGTGAAATAAAATCTAATGTTCGATTACATTAAATTGACCTTTGCAACAGACAAATTTTAAAATGTGACAGTTTCCATCCTCGAATTGTAATTCGCCAATATCATCATCATCATATTATCGAGATATATATAACGATATCATCAATAAATGTAAGATTTATCTTCTATCAACACAAAGCATCCTATGTGTCAACGATTAATCCCAAATGGAATTTCTTTATTTTAACGTTAATGACGGCTTTCTTGAGGGAATTGTGCGAGGATATAAAAGTGCAATTCTCAATCAAACAAACTACCTTAACTTAACTCAATGTGAAACTTTGGAAGGTAAAACACACACACACGCCGTTTAGCTTATGTATAACAATGATTTTTGGTCCTAACTTATCATTTCTTTCACAAGATTTGAAATTACAACTCAGCGCAACTGACTATGGGAATTTTCTTTCGAATGAGCCTTCGCCGTTAGCAACCTCTACCATTGCCGAAAAAGCCACCGAGAAGTTAGTTTCAGAGTTCAAATATGTACGTTCTAATGCTGTCGAACCCTTATCAACATTTTTGGATTATTTAACGTATGCTATTAAGGTTTTATATAATAAATACACCTTGTTTTTTTTTAACTCATAGTTGATTTGATTCCTATTGTAATTAATTGATTCTGGTTTTTTGCTCTCTCTTCGGTTTGCCACAATAGTTATGCTTATATGATTGATAATGTCATTCTTCTGATAACTGGAACTTTACACGAACGTGATACTCACGAATTAATCGAACGGTGCCATCCACTCGGTGTTTTTGATTCAATGGCTGCTCTCTGTGTGGCAACTAATGTAGCTGAATTATATGATACTGTATTAATTGAGACTCCTCTTGGTAATTTATTTATAATGAACATCTTTGGTATTTCCAGAATTTGGTTTTAAAATAATCTTTTCGCATCTTTCCAAAAGCCCCTTATTTTAAAAACTGTTTATCGGCGAATGATCTCGACGAAATGAATATCGAGATCATTCGAAATACTCTATACAAAGCTTATCTTGAAGACTTTTATAGATATTGCAAGCAACTCGATGGCACTACAGGAGAGATAATGAGTGAAATTTTAGAGGTATAAAAGTGTTTTTCTTTCATATCTTTTAATAATATAACTGTTCCCGGTAGCTTTCATATATTACGGGTTTGTTATTGATATATGTATTTCTTTCTCATTATGATAATTCTAGTTTGAAGCGGATCGTCGAACAATTAATATCACCATTAATTCACTCAATACCGAATTATCAAGAGACGATCGAAGAAAGCTGTTTCCAGCTCTTGGCCGACTATATCCTGATGTCCAAGATAAGTTATTGCGTGCAGATGACGCCGAACAAGTTAAAACTGCCGTTGAAATTTGGGTGGTAAGTTTTCAATCGAAAAAAAAATACATCTACTTAATGTCTATTTATTTTTCTAATGTGAAATATAATCGTCGCATAGGAATATCGCCAATTCTTTGAAACGTCAGTCACATCCGCAGAGACCAAAACTCTAGAAGATCGTTTTTTCGAATATGAAGTACATCTCAATAAACTCACTTTTCAACAACAATTTCATTATGCTATTTTCTACGCATTTCTTAAATTAAAAGAGCAAGAAATACGGAATGTTTTGTGGATCGCTGAGTGCATTAGTCAAGGTCAAAAGGATCGAATTAATAATTATATACCAATATTTTAGTTTTGGAAAATATTAATCTACTAATAGACGATAGGAATATCTGTATTAAATATGAGCAATTAATTGTGGGTATTGGTTTTTTAAAGGATTACAAAATAAACAATAACTTTGGTTATTATGATAATTTTTGATTAATAATATCGATAATTGATAATTTTTGTTTATTATTATTGCTGTTATTATTATTATATTATTACTATTATTGTTGTTGTTGTTGCAATGATTGTATAAGATGATGATGATGATGATGGGGATAATGATTATAATAGATTTTCACAATCTTTTCCTATAAAATATTATATTGGTAATAATTATATACAACAAATGAAAGAAACACAAGGCGATCGATTACAATGTATAAAATATAAAATATAAAATATAATAAATAAAAATGATTCACATTCGAAATTAAATCTATAATATATAGTTCCGTGGAGATAAAAATAAATAAATGTGTAATCCGTTGAAGCTTTCCAATGTTATAATCCTTTTCTTTAACATAAATCAAATACGTTTTTAAAGCGAGTTGATATTTTTATGGAAAATCTAATAAATATAGATGACAATGTGCTAATATGCAAATATGAAGATAAAGAGTGGTGGTAGGTTTCGTTATTGAAAGCTCTTCTTTGCGTGGCGAAAAACTTGTGACCTGCGAGCAAACTGCTATTACGCTCTGCCATCTTTTGCGGTTTTGAATTTTAGCAAAGGTGCCAAGTCCGTAAGTGGGCACGATTTTTTGAGAAACTCGTGCTATATAAAAGAAAATACGCGAAATTAATGAATAAATTATGCTGCAAATAAAAAACGAGATATAATATAAATCAATCGCTCACATCTAAAAGTTCCAAGGCAGTTGCTCTACTTTTAACATCTACGCATAAACATACAGCCAAAAAGCTTTTAAGATCTCGAGATAATTTTTCCGGTCTTTTCAATGTTGGAGTTCCATTTGTAGCAATCAAGTATAATGCTTTTAGTGGTTCCTCATCCAAGTACGGTGGCTCATTCTCTATCATTTCAATTGCCATTATACCAAGTGACCAAATGTCAACTTTAGCCCCGTATTCTTTTTGTTTGACGACTTCAGGTGCCATCCAATATGGAGTACCAACCATGGTTGCTCGTTTATTTTTTTGGTCTGTAAGTTTGGCGCAAAAACCAAAATCGGCTAATTGAAAAAAAAATTATTGTATTAATTAGGATTCGTAATGGATATTCTATCAGATTTGTATTACGTAAATAATAAAAATTTTGAAGCGTACTAATTTTGACGTGGCCATAAGCATCCAATAAAACATTATCACTTTTTATATCACGATGGATGATATTTTGACCGTGAAGATGTTGAAGACCTTTACATGTCTAATGGTTGGAATAAACAAATTAATTATTTAGCATAATTTCAAATAATTCAATAATTTTAATTTCAAATGTCATCATTACTAATAAACATACCTCAAAACAAATGGCAGCAATTTGGTCTTCCTCTAATGAATTATTATCAATAACATCGGTTAAAGCACCACCCTCCATATATTCCATTACTACCCATAATTCACTTTGTTTGACTAAAAATGAATCTAAATAATTTACAATATTTGGGTGCTGAGATTCTTTCATTACCAAAATTTCATTAACAATCAATTCTTTTCGAGGCTGATGAGAAAGATCCATTTGTTTTATAGCAACTTTCGCATTATTGCTATGAGATTTGGCGACATAAACTGAACCAGACGCTCTAATTAGTAAAAATTAAATTCTATTAATTTAATATTTTCTAATAAAAAATATAAAAACTAAAAATAGTAAACTTACCCTTGTCCAACCTTCTTAATTTTACTGTATAAAGTTGTAGGGTCACCTGACGAGACTACAGATCGTAATTTTTCCATGATTTGTGCTTCCGTCATTGTGCTGATTCTGCGTTCAGCAGCAGCGGCTTTTTTTGCAGATGGCTGTGCATTAGGTGATGGTTTATTTGGATTTGCAACTTGTTTAGGAGGCTGGGCTAGAGGTTGTGGTTGTGGCTTGGCATTTGGGCTTGGAGTGCGTGAGGATTGAGAATAATTTTTAGTGGGCGGAGATATAGATTGTGACTGTGGCTGTTGCTGTGGTGGTGGTTGTTGTTGTTGTTGCGGCTGCTGATATTGTTGTTGCTGTTGTTGTTGCTGCTGATATATTTGTTGCTGCTGCTGCTGCTGCTGTTGTTGTTGTTGATATTGTTGTTGCTGTTGCTGTTGATAATATTGTTGTTGTTGCCGTTGCTGCTGTTGTTGCTGCTGCTGCTGCTGTTGTTGCTGTTGATTATGACTATTTGAGTATTTTTCAGGTATCCGTTGATTCTAGTACGAAACAAAATTCAGACATATAAATATCAAATTTAGAAATAGAATTCTAAATTTTCAAGAAAATTTACCGAAATTGGGGACACAGGAGTAACTTGATTCTGTTGCTGACTGAGCGTATGTGGCGGTCTGGGCGTAATTGGTGGTCGAGTGGGTGGTGTATCTGGGCGCTTTGAAAAATATTAAAAAAATTAAAACATCCATGAGAAAATTAAGTAAAAACAGATTGATGCCACATTTTTCTTAAGAAAGATTAACGTTCACAACTTACTGTATCATCATAATACAGTTTTTGCATAGGATCCGCAGTATCTATTTTCATATTATTTTTGTTAGATGTCTTTTGATCCATTTGTTTCGCGCCTCCATTCATACCACCATTCCCAGGATGGTGATTCGGCGATATTTTTGACATATCATATCCATTTGAATTGTCATTGTTTAGCGACATCTGCTGCTGATTATTCTGCGAATTATTATTTTTAGGCAATAAATCTGCCCATTTATCATCAGAACTGTTCGGAAATCCGGGTATTTGTCCTAAAAAACCACTATCGCCAAATTCTTCACGCTCACGTTTTTGATTTTCAGTGTAGAATTCTAAAACATCCAAAACGGCCTGTGGATTCTTTGCATAATCTTCCTTCGTTATAGCCGATGCAGTCAAAAGTTTTGTCCATTGTTCTGGGAGTCCCTATCAAAAAAACAATAAATTTAAAAGATTCACTTAGTCCTTTTTTTCTAATAAAACATAAAGATATTTTTAGTCAAATTGAACTTGCTTACCGTAAATGCTCCACTAACGGGATCAAACCCTACATGTACATTATGTACGAAATTCGTAGGATTAGATACCCCACTAAGTGGTGATCTCTAAGTTAATTCATATATATAATTAATATTGTAATTACTTTTCCCTAAAGGACAAAAGTTTAATAGAATTCATACCGAATAAATTTCATCCATCCATGAATACAATTCTTCGTCATTTTTGCATGATAAATAATACGTTTTATCTTTGGTTTGAATTTCTAAACAATAAGGTTTTAAATCTGTACGTTGGACACTTGTAATTTCTTTCAAAAAAACTAAAGCTATTGCTTGATATGTATTCTATAAAATGCAAGAGCGAAAAGGGTAAAGTTTAAAATTAGGAGGTTAAAAGCTAAAATTGTTTGTGGGTCTCAAAAACGGATGTTATGTGTAGATTAGCTTCATAATTCCACATAAGGTGTAAAGAGATGAGAAAGGTAGTTGACTGTACCTCATTGCGATGGAACGTGAGTGTCTGTTCTCTGAGTTGCATCCATCTTTTTGACCAAATCCACGCCCTTAGCCCATCTTCCTTCACCGAAATGTAACCTTTTTTTACTACTTGAGAGCTCATAAAGAATGCAAGCGCTTAAGCGACTTTTACGGATAAAAAATATGGAGACTGGTTTTTTTTTTGAAAGTGAAACGCTCACGTAAGTTAACGTTATGATATTCGAAACTTTGTGTTCTACCAAATATAAATATCACGAGAATTAACGTTGATCAAATATCTGCTATATCAATGTTTTATTATAGGAATAATTCATTTATAATTTTAATGCTCTTGATTTTGTGATAATAATTTTTAGGATTCGATTCTCCACTAATTATCGAATTCTTCTCGCATAATTGTGTAACAAATCATTATGTTGGTCAAAATTTCATAGCACCTCTTTCAACACAAGCATTATGAGTGATTACGTGACTAAACGAATGCTAGATCGTGAAGCGGAGTTCACAGAACAGAAGACCATTAGGTAATTAAAAGTTTAAATTGTTGGCACGAAACATTGGATTTGGCAGTTTGTGGAGGAAAAAACTTACAGGTTATTCGACTGCTTGATAAAAGTGTATTTGTTGGTACATGGAATGTCAATGGGAAATTTGCGTCTGATGCACTCGATACCTGGTTGATGTGCGAAGCAGAACCAGACATATATGCTATAGGGTGAGAGTAAGCTGGTTTTTTTCTATTCCAATTTTATTGCCACGTATTCTTATCTATCTTTATATATTTAATTCCATGATATCAATGAATTTTTTGACATAGATTCCAAGAATTAGATTTGAGTGCAGAGGCGTTCATATTAAATGATAATACACGTGAAGAGGATTGGACACGTGCTGTGGCTCGAGGATTAGGAGATAGAGCTACTAATTATTGGAAGGTCATTTGTCATTATAGAGAATTCAAATAGTAATACTGTGAGCTCACGTAATTAATTATTATTATTATCATTTCAATATGAAACAGATCGTATCCAAACAACTGGTTGGCCTATTGCTTATGGTTTTTGTAAGAAAAGAACACGTCACAATCGTCAAAGATGTGCAAACAGACTCTGCTGGAGTTGGGATAATGGGAATGATGGTACGGCTTATATCAATGTTTTAATGGACGCGTCATTCCTTTATTTCCGAAAAGGATAAGAATACGCACGTTTTACTTTTTGGGTGCTTTTCTTTTAATTTTCTGTTTCTAAAAAATTGCAATTAACTAAGTAAACACCAAAAAGACTGATCAATCCAAAAAAAACCTAGGGAAATAAAGGCGGTGTCTCAGTTCGAATGAGATTCCACGATTCTACTATATGTTTTGTGAACTGTCATTTGGCAGCCGATGATACTCAAGTGCTAAGACGAAATCAGGATTATCTTGAAATTTGTCGACGCATAACTTTTCCGATAAATCCATCATATTCTGTCCCATCGTCACCCGTTTCACCTATAACACCTATTCCGACTTCGCCTATCTCGGCAACAGCGGCATCACCGAATTGGCTTCAAAATAATATACCTATTGCAGTGAATATTGGAGGGATGATAGGAATTTCGGGTGGTCCTGCTCCGGAAAAAGCACTTACGATTTTTGACTCCGAGTATGTTGCTAATAACAACAGCAAGTTATGCTATTCTTTTTTAACGGTGATCTTATAATATCGATTATATTATGACGTTATTTTAGCCGTCTGATTTGGATGGGTGATTTGAATTATCGGATTGAGGCTTTACCACTCGCAGAGATTAAGGATTTATGGGAAAAAAGAGATTTCGATGTCTTGCTAAAGTTTGATCAGGTATTAATTTCCTCTGATATTATGCTCTTTATTTAGAAAAATATTGAACTATTTGTCGTTAATCTTTTTATTTATCGGTTGATAGCTTAGCATTCAACGAACAAATAAGTGGGCATTCGATGAATTCGAAGAAGGGCAAATCACTTTCCCTCCTACTTATAAGTATGACGTCAGAACAAATAATTGGGATTCCAGGTTATTTTTTTCTGCTTGATATCTTTGACCTTTTTTATTTGATATTTCGTATTAATATTTTCAGAATTTGTTTACTTAAGCGAAAAGAAGAGAGCTCCTGCGTGGACTGACCGAATTTTATGGCGAAGTAAAGATAGTGATGGAATTAAGCAACTTGCTTACCGAAGTCACATAGACATTACACAGAGTGATCACAAACCTGTCAGCGCGATATTTACTATGAAGGTATGATATGTTAAATAGTTCTTTTTGAATTTCTTAATCATTTAATGTAAAATCTCCTTAATGAATTATGTGATTATCTATAGATCAAAAAAATTCTGCCTTATAAACAGAATGAAGTATACATTAGCATAGTCCGAGAACTGGATAAATTTGAAAATGATAATCTGCCGGATGCAAACGTTTCTTGCTCTGTGTTCGATTATGGCGAGATCAAATATTTGGGAGCTCCGCAGACAAAATCAGTCACGATAGAAAATACAGGGCATGTTATATTAAAATTCAAATTTGTACCGAAATTTGATGAACAACATATTTGCCAACCTTGGCTAACTATTGAGCCTTCACAGGGATTCATAGTACCCGGTGTGTGGCGTTTTCGTTTATGTAACTAAACCTTTGCATTAGTGTCAATATAAAATAATTTATTATTATGCGGATAAAATAGGTGAAGGTGAAACTATCAAGCTTACCGTGGCTGTTGATAATGTATCAGCGCCAGCACTTAATGCCGGCGAGAAAATAGAAGATATTTTGATCATTCATTTGGAAAATGGAAAAGACTTTTTTATCTCAATACATGGAAAGTACGTTCCCACGTGCTTTGCAAATAATTTAGAGAGATTAGTACGTTTGCCAAAACCTATTAAATTGGCGCATGACGAGAATTTGAGTTTATTGCCAATCGGACATCAGATTAGTGTCCCAAAAGAGATATGGCGAATTTTAAATTTTATCAGTCAATACGGCAAAAATGTGGTAAGTTTTTGGACTCTACGTTTGGGTTATTTTAAACCAATTTCATAATACTAAATACTTTATATTACATGAGAATAGAATGACTTATTCACAGTGACGGGTGATCAATCTCTGATAACTTATATTCGTGAATGCTTAGATACAGGAGAAGAATTTGATCTTTCTTTACTTCTCGATGATCCACAAAAAAAACAAGAATCTCTTCCTACTCCACTTGAAGATGATGACAAGACAATAGTTGAACTTGATAAACATTCAACAGATTTATCTACGTTGACTGAAAAACCATCACATGGTAGTCTTGGTGACAACATCGGCGTACATTCGATGGCTGAAGTTCTTATTCGTTTCCTACAATCTTTACCAGAACCGGTGATTCCTTTTCATTTATACGATCAATGTATAAATATTAAGAGTAGACTTGCAGCTCATGAGGTTAGTATCTGATGTCGTTAGTAAGTCGACGAGCGAAAAAATTATTCAATTGATCATCTACGATTTATCATATAATTATATATGTTTAAGGTGTTAGAGCTCATACCAAGTGTTCATGCAAATGTTTTCATATATATAACCTCACTCTTGCAAGAGGTAATTAATCACAACAAGAAAGATATCGGTAGAATTGAAACTTTGGGTAAACTCAATATACGTGATTTCTAATTTATGAAATAATGTTTAGACCAAACATTAAGTATGAATCTTTTTTAACGAATTATGCAGCCTTCGTTCTTGGTTCAGTGATGTTGCGATCAAAGACTAACGATCGACTACGAATGGAATTACACGCATCACAAGCACAAAAGAAAAAGGAATTTTTGCTGTACTTTATAACGAACGAATTGGAATTGGAAGATGATGAAGTTGAAGATAATTTTTCTGCCGATTTGTAAATATACGAAAGAACACGAGTTCTTTGGGTTTGTTTGGTTCTCTACCCTTGGTGAGGACTATTTACTATTTTTAATTTCGTGGGACACAGCAATTATGTTATCCAGGAGATTAATCCACATATTTTTTGATTTTTATTGTAGTGCACAGACTCTCTATTTCTTGCTTTATTAACGGCACATTATTATATACATTAGTTTATTCATATTAGTGAAAAAGATGAAGACAACGCCTTTTTGGTATAATTTTAATATTTATTCAATTATTGATGATTAATTAATGTACACAGTCAAAGCTGATGTGGCGGATTCGGACTATTCTTTGGAACCAGCTACATAAAAATTTTGTCTGTTACAGTGGATCCGCCGATATATCGGATTAAATGAAAGGAACGGATGGATCCGTTATATCGACTTTCACTGTGCAGGATCTCGAAAAACTTTCGAGGTTATTTATATTAATAAATTTACTTATTTGTAATATGACATAATTTAAATGAACCACGAGGTTACTCGAAAATCTATTTAAGTTGAAGATTGACGTTTTTCGGTCATATTCATATCAGCGGTGGTTGAATCACGAACTGCCACGCGAACACAATGCAGAAAGACTTTCTCGTGTAATGATTGAATTTAGTCAATCGAGTAATTTATGCGAACTGACCAACTGATTAGGATAAATACACCTGCTTCCATTCCTTGAAAGTTTCGTCAATTATCTCATAACTAAAATTTCATTTATATTTGTTACGTTAAAATGCCACCAGCCGCTGCTTCCCTACCTGAACAGAGTGTTGTTGCTGAAGAGGACAACAAGAAGAATAACTTGAAGCGTCCGTCAAACTCTAGTGAAGAAGCTTTTCAAAAGTCAATTGATGAAATAAAGAACACGATTGATAAGTTGCAAGCGGAAATGGTGCGTCATCTCACAAACCTCTCCATTATTAACTAGATTCAAAGACAAAAAGTTGAATTGAAACAAGAAATATCGTTATCGTTGTACAACGTTTGATGTCATCTATAACCCTTGTGCATGCGGCGAGACGTAACTAATTTTTGTGCATCCCACTCTTAGACTGTTATAAATGAAAAAATTAACAACGCCGATAGAAGTTCCGCGTCATTAAAAAAAGATGAACTTCGTGAAAAGCAATCTGAAATTAGAAAAAAGCGGACACAGACAAGAGAATTGTTGAAAAATATGAATGATTCATTTCAACGAAAGGTAATTTCTTTCGAATTAATCATTAATTCGGTCAAATTCTAAACGAAGGCTTATTCTTTAGAAACGTGAATTAAGAATGAACAAAGACAAAAGTCAGTATAAAACAACTAAAGAGGTTGACAATCAGATAATGTAAATTTCTTTTTATCTTTATTATTATATTACACATATAAGAGCTTTAAAATAAATACTTTGATTTTTCCATCGAGAACAGAAAATTAGAAAAGCAAATCGAGTCGGGTAGTCTAAAAATTATCGAAGAAAAAAGGATAGTTGCAGAAATCTCCCAACTAAAAAAGCTAAAAAAGACTGTCGAGTCTTTTGATATCCAGCAATTTATCATCGATGAGGAACAAAAGGCCATCGATGAATTAAGGAAGACTCTAGACGACGACGAAATCGATATGAAAAAATATAATTCCGAATTCGATCAATTGAAAAACGAGCTTGATGAAATTAATGTACTATACGACGAGAAAAAACGAATTCGTGAACTAATTGCCAACGAAATTGAAAATAGACGCGAAATCATAAATGCCAGAAATCAATTTCGACAACAACAGGATGAAGAACGTCGTCGCCGATGGGAAGCACAAAAAGAAAAGAAGGAACAGTATGAGGCACAAAAAAGAGCTGATATAGCCGCACGCATTAGAGAAGATGCATCCATCCCGGCGTTCCAGAATGAGATTTATACTTGTGACGCTTTAATCAATTATTTCCAAACTTTTCAAGGTAATGGTAAAGCCAACGAGCAAACACCAGCTGCTACTTCAGCTTTTAGCACGAATATACGCGAACTTGATACTTCATCCAATATGCCTGAAGGAATGATACTTACTAAAAAGGCTGATCGTAATGATGATTATTTCATCGGGAAAAAAAATAGCAGCAAAAAGAAAACACCTAAAGACAAAAAGTCTACTAGTTTCAATCTCGACATCGATATCCTACAACAATTGACCACCGTAAAAGTCTCCATTCCTATTAACGTAGCTGATATCGGAAAGACCATCGAAGATCTCATCGCGAGAAAAGATTATTACCTTGAAAACCAGCTCAAGGTAACTAATGAAAATATCGAGAAAGCTGAAGCAGAAATTTCGGCTTTAGAAAATAGATCTATAAGAGGCCAAGATTATCGTGAACGATCACGCAATAAACAATCTAATAAATCGACTATTACTCAAAGCGAAGTGGCTTCGACCACCAGCACTGTTGTTACAACAACACTCGAAGTTGTAGAAACAGTTGAAACTACCTCCACAAATAATGAAATGGTATCGGAAGAAATTTTGGATAATGCATCTAGTTCTGCCGTTGCCTCTCAAGTTAAGGAGGAAACCCAATAATATATATTACACCCTTCCATTTCCCGCTATTAAATCAATAATATCTTTCAAGATCCGCTTGCGAACAATTTTACATTTAGAATAATCAAAAAACTCAAGTTTTATTAATATCATTTTAATTATATAGAATGTTACTCTATTTATAATATTTTTGGTCATCAGTAAATTAATTTATTTTTTCCCGAAAAATATTATTATTATATGTAAAAAATTAATAGAAATCAAAAAAAAATTTATCTAATTTTCTGTAATGAATATCACCTTCCTTCTTCTTGATGGAACATATATTCAACCGCTTCGAATACATCTTGCGCCACATGATCAGCAGGAAATTGTGCATCGTTGTCCTTACCCTCAAATACACCTGTTCGAACTAGAATCGAGTTCCAGTTATGTGCATTGGCACCAGCTATGTCTGTTTAATAGTTATTAAGAAAAATTAATTTTTTTGTAACGATAAATTTTTAGATAAAAAAAACTTGCTAACCCGCAGCCGGGTTATCACCAACAGCTACAAAAGAAATAAAAAAACAGGTGTGAATCAAGTATATCGTTGACGAATATTTGATTGAGCAATAGGTGATGAGTAAATTTACCATAAACATGTTTGGGTAGTATGCGTCGCTTGTAGATTTCATAGGTTTGATCAGCAAGCAGCCGTTCAGCATATCTATATGTAGAGGTCTCTGGTTTCCCAAATAACTCATATTTAAGTTTTCTGCCTGTCGCTTCCTATACGTTAAAAAACAAAAACTTACATAAAAATTTCTGCTGATTGATTTTTACTATTGACAAATAACTTACACTGTATATACTTTCAAATGCTATTCGAAAAGCACCCTGTCCAAAGCGAGGGATTGGAAATTCATTGGACCAAATCTAAATTTTTATGCAAGATAGAAAAATTACAGATTATTCTTATAAAAAATCAGAAATAACTTAAGAAATATATCATTTACAAAATCAGGATTCGAAAAATAAAGAGGAATTTGATGCAAGATTTCTTCCGTTTCAGGTGTCAATGTGCCAATATATCCATTCTTGGATTGTAGCACGTCTAACATAATTTGTATGTCCCGGCCCCCTATAGCAAATTATATTCAATGTAATTTTGAGTGATGATGAAAAAGAATCGATTGGTAAGGGTGAACAAAAACATCGATACTGACAATTGTATGAATCGTGCAACACCATTACAACTTGTATTGCTTCTTTGGAAAAATCGTATCTCTGTAAATATACGCGAGACATATTTCAATTTTTAAATAATGCTCAAATGTTATGATTTATAATTACAAACCGGTGCTTCCGCGATTTCTTTCATAATTGGAGCAAGTGGCCAAATACCTGCATATTAAATAGATATTCGGTTAATAAATAAACAAATCTAGTTTATGTTTTCTTAGAATAGCATACTTGGCTCCCATCGCAGAACATCCTCTGGTATTACTACCCTTTTAAATCCATAGCTAAAAAATACCAATAAGAAATTGGACGTAAATCCGAAAATAAATTTCAAAAGTAATAATACAAGAAATACCTTTTGGCTACTTCTGCACATAAATCACCGGTCCCTCCCACTACCAAGACCATAGATTCTTGATACTTTGAGACTAATGATTGCATAGGAGTATGCGAGAGAACGAGTTGTTGCGGAGATATCTATTGATAAGATTCTTTTACGTGTAATATTCATTTGAAATACTATTCTTGATTTCAACAAATAATGCCAAAAACCTACGGGAAAATCGATAGTACGTGTCAAATCCGCTGCTTTTTTGGCTTCTGTCATCCCACCACCGTTAGAGAGCAAAAGAAAAGGAATCTTTCTTTGATAGAACCGGTTGAGCGAGCATCAAACCGCGTTGACCGCTCTTTATTCAAGATAAGAAAAGCTTCTATTAATATATGAAACAGCCTAAACTTACTTTTGTAATACATTTTCACCAGATAAAAAACTTAAGGCCTTCTTTGCTTGCGGTAAAGCTTTCCTCCCCTTTAACCAAAGGGAATGGTAATTAATTATTATGAAAGATATCGGGATCAAGTACAAGGGCAAAGAGTGTTTGCTCACAGCACCTTTATCAAAACTCCGTCAATGTCTAGACATATACCATAATTGCAGGTTTGTGTTGAGTATAAACGATGAAGCGAGAGTAATTTCTTCCCAACAATTCCATTTCTATAGAAAGTGAACATTTTTACAAAATTTTGTAAATCGAAATTCCGATTTTGTCATATTACCCTGAAAAAAATAAGTAAACCGGCTAGAAAACCGGATCATTCTTGTGTATATAAAAGAACTAATGATTTACTTTCAACTCCTCAAAGCTGCTCAAATGTATAACTCTCGAAACATGGCATCGACCGCCTTAAAGCGGCTGATGACCGAATATAAAGGTAATCGAATTTTTCATTTCGTGGGAGGCCGACGTTTTCTGACACATGCCGACCGTTATTTCCACATGAATGCCTGTCTTTAATCTTTTTTACTTGTTCTTTAGAACTTACTTTGAATGCTCCGGAGGGAATTACTGCCGGTAAGATGGGGAATTGCCTAAATTAATTCTTTCTGAATATCTAATAATAATTTAATTTTCATTATGTAAAAACTTAATTAACTCAGGACCTATTTCCGAAGACTCTTTTTTCGAATGGGAGGCTTTGATAGCGTAATTATTACCAGATTTCTATTATTGTATCTTTTTAATCAATTATAAACTTTTGAATTTGATCATTATGGGAGATTAGAGGTCCAGAAGGAACACCTTATGAAGGAGGCATATTTCCTGCCTTACTACGGTTTCCTACTGATTATCCATTATCACCACCAACCATGAAATTTACATGCGAAATGTTTCATCCAAATGGTAATAAATTGAATCTTCTTAAATTCAATAATACATTGTTTTTATATTAATATTACATATCATGTATTGTCGTATAGTATACCCTGATGGACTAGTATGTATATCTATTTTGCATCCTCCCGGTGATGATCCAAATATGTACGAAAGTTCATCGGAACGTTGGTCACCTGTACAGAGCGTTGAAAAGATTTTATTGAGTGTAGTTAGTATGCTGGCGGAACCGAATGATGAAAGTGGCGCAAATATTGAAGCTTGTGTATGTTTTTACTTAATTTTTGATTTTGATTTTTTTAATTGTAATATTTTGGAAAATAATATTGTGAATTTTTTGATTTATCGTAGAAAATTTGGAGGACGGATCGTGAAGGGTTCAATAAGATTGTTAAGGATAACGTTAAAAAAACATTAGGACTATGAAACGATCGGGTATAATAAATAATAGTAATAATAATAATAATAATAATAATTACGATATCATTAGTTAGCAGCAATGCAGAATTTTCTACTAGATGTCGAATAACTTAGGACGAGAGAATGGACTTGAAAGGAAAAAGATGTTCTGTATACATAAGAGAACTGAATTGTGCGTCAATACATAAATTAATTAATTAATGATTTATCTTTTATTTATTGTTAATAAAGTTATAAATTTTTGATTGATGACAAATTGGTATGGAACATTAAACATTGATGATTATAAGATATTTTTTCCTCTTTACTTGAAGATGATTAATAAATTTTTTTTAACTATAATATTATCGATGACGATGTTAATGATCAAAGTAAACTCATTGATTACAACAAATAACTTTAAAATAGCTGTAAATAAAACCCCTTAGCTCTGAATCCGAAAAAGAACAGCAGCAGCTATCTTTTAACGGTAAACATATCTTTTAATCTAATTAATTAACTATTCATTCGTTCGTTCATTCAATTGATAATTAACCGAATATCAATCAACAATGCATACACACTTTGCTTCCACCCCTTAACTACTCAACTTTCTTTGATGATTCCTGTTTTCGTAACTTGAACTCGGCAATCGCAGCTTGCACTTTATCACTAATGCGTTGCTGGAGTGCAGATCGATATCCAAAAAAGAATAAAACTTCCAACCAAACAAATAATGGGGCAAGTAAAAGAGCTAGGATTGATAGAATCAATTAGTTGCATTTCTGATTAAAACAAAAATAATCTGACCATCGTCCGGAAAACGAGCAAAAAACCTTGTGCAATGTTATCAATTAATGCTGGACTTCGTTTTTCCGCAAATCCATGTCCGATGAATTGCGCGAGCCAAGCTGCAACTTGAACATAGGCAGCCAGAATGTTATGATTATCATATTTGGCGGCAAATTGGGTAGCGTTATATGCCATATATAGTAAGAGCGGGGTATATAATAACTATGATATTATTATAGTTAATTAGCAGTGAAGGGACGAAATATTGGAACTTCATCAGATAACAAAAATCATTCCATCTCTCTGGATGCAAGTAAAATCCACCATTAAACTCACCCCTGCAACTGGCTCCATCAAAATATAATACGAAGAATAAAAAAGTGCCGTATATAAAGCAAAGTTAGGTTCAAGTGGTATTGTGCTCCATAAAGAATCTTGTTTTTCCAATTTCCCATAATTCGACGCCCAAATTAGACCACTCCACAGAAGAAGTGGAACACAAACTAATTCGAAAGTTAATGATAGGGTCAGGAAAATGCACTTGTAATGCATACACCAGTATACCTGTGAAATCTCAACAATTCAAGAGTGCATACCAACATGAATTAATATATTGATTCTATTGTTGTGATACTGTCCGTAGAAAGTGAGCTGTTCTTCCAAGTTCAATAATCCCATTCTTTCTTTAATTTCTTGTATTTTTTCTTTATGTGCAAGTTAGAATTAGAAAAAAAAATTAAAAATTATGTATCTTTTCAACAGTAAATAAACAGTGAGAACACCCGTTTACCAATACGCCTCAAGAATAAAAAGCTATTTTTCGTAGACTTTGCAAGTTTCCAATATTTCAAGCTTGAATTTACATTCTTGACCTACATGTGTCAATCAGGTGTGGTGAGTTCCTTATCTGGTGATTGATCGATTATACAAGATGCAAAATTGATCTCTTCATTAAAATATATACGAATCGTTCTTTTTATTTTTGTCTGTTATTTAATTAATATTAAAAATTCGAGAAAAAAACAACGAATAGCAAAAGATATAATGTATTGATGAAGAGATTGATAAAGAATAGGTGCGGATTTAAAGAATATCAAAAAAAATTGTACATAAGGAGAAAGAGGAAAATATAGCATGAGAAATCACCGCCCATCCAACCAGGCCTTTTATTAAAGTCTACTACTGCTGTTATTGTCATACAACATTTTGACATATCTCAAAGCCTGTTAAACGGCTATTTTTTTAAAAATGTTGATTGCTTGGTTTGCTATTAATATAATAATAATAATATTATTATTATTATTATATTATTCTTATTATTATTATTGTTGTTGGTGTTGTTGTTGTTGTTTAGATGTCTTCCTCTTCCTCTGCTATTAAATTTAAAAAGAAAATAAAAAGAATCAGTATATAATTAAAAAAAAATTAACAAAAATATCGAGAAATTACCGGGAAGTGGCATGGAAGCAGCCGTTTCCAATTCTTTAGTATATTGATCCATAAGATTTGGATCCACTGTGACTTCGGGCGGTGCAAGGGCGGGTGAAGCGACAAATTCCAAATTAGGATTACTGTTTAATCATTTAATATATGAATCGAATATTAATATCAAAGATATTCTTATAGAAATGAAAAATCAAATATGATTACTACGAACCCAATTAATTTACGGGCCAACCACAAAAATGGTTTCTCAAAGTTGTAATTGCTTTTAGCTGAGATATCGTAATATTGAAGATTTTTCTTTCGATGAAATGTAATAGTTTTGGCTTTGACTTTACGTTCCTATCAATACTCATTAAAACGTTATTATTCTTATTCTTATTATTACAAAATAATAGAAAAAATAGTAAAAAGAATATAATTTCTGTATAATGTCTAGCTCACCTTTATGTCAACTTTATTGCCACAAAGGACAATGGGGATGTTTTCACACACGCGAACTAAATCTCGATGCCAATTCGGGACATTCTTATATGTGATCCTTGACGTTACATCGAACATGATAATTGCACACTGTCCCTGAATATAATAACCATCACGAAGCCCGCCGAATTTCTCCTGGCCAGCGGTATCCCATGTGTTGAAGCAAATTGCTCCGAAATTCGTGTGGAAAGTTAATGGATGTACTTCTACCCCAAGAGTGGCTAAAATGTATTTTCCAAATAAATATTTCATCAATGCTATGATCAAAAAAGTGAACGATGCCGAAAAATACAATTTAATTTGACTTGGCACATACCAACATATTTCTTCTCGAACTCGCCAGTCAAGTGGCGCTTTACAAATGTCGTTTTCCCCGTGCCACCATCACCAACTATTCAGTTTATAACCATTAAACCAAACCCAAATAATTATACAGAAAGCAAATTTTCCGATTTTAATTTAGATTTCAATTCTGTAACGTTGACACAAATAAGAGTCAGCAGACCAATTCCAAATACTAACCGAGTACAAGCTTGAAAGTCGGAACTTGTTCTTGTGTCATTGCTATTTAATGAAGGACAGGTTTGATTGATTTAATATTTGGAGAAATAACTGTAGCAACAAGGACCAAAAAACCGCAGCAACAACACAAGAAAAGCAATTATTTATATTGTACTATTTTATATGATATTTATATTAGAAATATTATATAATAGAAAATTTTGATTGATTGATTGATTGATTGATTAATAAATAGGAGAAATGGTTTTCTTTAGTAAAAGTCTAACAATTCCTTTAAATAGTCAAATTATAATGCTTACCCGAGATACTGTCGACGGATGATGGATGGATGGACGGATGGGTACGCTCTTTCTCAACAAAAAATTGGAAAAGCGGTGGATTTATAAAAGGAGTATTAAAATAATGTCTTTTACCTTAAATTATGACGTTATATCACGTGATATTTTAATGTGGCTGAGTTCATGTGATGCTCTATATATAACAATCAATCTGACCAATCAGAACGCTTTATTTTATAATATTAGTAGAAAAACTGCTATTATTCGCCACACAGTCACCTGTTTCCCCCACAGAAAAAGTTCGAACACGTGATATTTATTCAATAAAATGGCTTTTCAAAACAAGTGATAAATTGCAAATAACTTAGAATTTTACTATTACAATCATTTTTTATCTTTTAAGTAAAAATGCTCAACGCGAAATTTTAGATACAATAGTAAACTTGAATTGCCAGAAAACAAAAATAAACGCTATGTTTTTACAAAAAACAAGTTAATATATAAGTTATCTATTCGAATTTTTTTCTGGATCAAGTAAACACGTGATTCGTAGATCACATGCAAGTCTATTATAATAATATACTTGCAGATTTTATAATAAATATAAGTAATTACAAATAATTAAAAAATAATAATATAAATATAATATTCTTAATAAAATTAAAATAAATAAATTGATTAAAATATAATTTAATATAAAATTATTCAAGAAATATTTTTAATTAAAATATTAAAAGCAATTTATTTAATAAAATTTTGTGCTATTAAGCAATTTTTAAGAACTAATAAATTTTATTAATTTTCATAATCAGTAAGATTGCAAGATTATATAATTATATAATTACAAATTTTAATAAAAATCAAACAAAAAAATTTCAAAATTATAAATAACTCAAAATTTTGTATAAGAAATCTTTTTTAATACTGCTATTATTTCTAGTTTTTATATATAAAGATATATAAAAATATTTAAAAATAATTAATAATAACTATATTCATGGTAAATTTTAAAATAATAGTAATATATAGTTAACAATAATAAATTAATAAAAATATGAGTATAAAAATGAATATTGAATATATTTGAGTAATAAATAAATAATACTAAAAAAAATATATATTATATATTATAAAAGATAATATAATGACAAATAAAAGTAATTAAAGATAAAAACAAAAATAAAACAAAAATAAAACAAAAATAAATAATAAATAAAGCAAATAAACATAAAACAAATAAAAAAAATAAATAAGAAAACAGAAAAAATAAGACAAAAATTAAAACTAAAACATAATCTTTTTAGTTTATTTCAAATTAATCTTATATTATATATATTGTTATCATTTTTATAGATCTTGAGTTCTTAACGTATTAATTACATGTTTTATTAACTTAAAGGTGAAAAAGATTAAGTTTTTATAGTGGAAGAGACTAAGATTTATTACTAAAGGTAGGTAATGTGTGTTCTTGTTGTGTTGAACTAGAATAATATTCAATAACTTTACTAAGTTTTGTATATTATTTTAGAATTTCAAAAGTTATAATTCAAACAATAATTTTATTAAACAACTGTCTTTCAAGTTAATAATAATAGTTTATTATAAGTAATCTATCTTTTAAGATCAAAAACCAATACAAATATAACTTTACAAGTTATCTGAAGTTTCTATCAAACAAGAGATTTCTTGAGTTATTAACTACTTTTTTAAGCTAAAATACATAATATTTCTGGCATTAACACAAGTATTAATATCATTATTGTTATTAACACAAGTATTGCTAGTGTTACTAACATTGTTGACATTAACACAAATTTAAAAATCAATAATATCTAACATATAATTATCCAATAAAATAATAACTATCTAAAAATAACTATCCAATAAAAATACTAATAAA